AAATGAGCACTAAGTCTCCCATGACGAGAGCAACAACAAGAGTAATACTGTTTCTGTTTCATGGTCATTTGTTTTAAAGATGCGCTCTGCATCCTCACATATATTATGTGTCAGAATATAACATTTCTTAAAAGCACACATTTAATCTGCTAAGCAATCTGCCATGTGTGGTGTCCCAGTCCACTAATCTATTATGAACATTTTATAAAAAGATACCTGAAAAGCGAATAAAACTGGAGAATATCTCGGTATAGCTAATCCATAATATGCTTTTTTTCTTTTTGCCAATGTGTATCAACATTTATGGGGAACTCTTTTTGTCTCCTGTATGAATATTGGTCAGATGCTCTGCTGAATTTATTTGTGTGTCACATTTTGACAGAATCCAATTAAACAAGATGACTTGAAAGAAGGTGTTGCGTTAAGCGAGCAGGCAGGATTGACTTCAGGGTAACTTGTCAAGCTATCGGATTCCTTTATGACATCAAATTAGGGAAGTGTGTCATATTAAATATCACTATTAATACAAGCACTTAATGTGACAGAAACAATATTTCTAAGCCTGCAAAAAGTTATACTTACTGGTGGAAACAGATTAAAGCAAACAGTTATTAATTTTGGCTTTCACATGCTTCTCTAATTGAAGTTTGAAGTCTTAAGGAAAGTACTTTGACGGGGAAAATATACTTTAAACACTTAAAAGACTGGACATCAAATGCTAATTTACAAAAACATTCAAAAGAAAAATTGAATTACTAGATGATGATAGCTTGAGATTACTGAGAGATAATAAAAAAACAGCATGTGTCTGTCAGCAGTCACACATTATTCTGGGCCTCTGCTTGTAATCATCTTGTCAATGAATTAATTAAAGAGAAGTCTATTTTTCTGGCCTTTGAATAGAAAGCGAAAACATGGTCGACTGAGGAAAGAAGTAATTTTCCTTAGTAGGGAAAACCACAGTATCTAATAGTAGTAAGAAACTTCTAGGCACATCTTTTTTTCACAAGAAAATAAAACTCTAAAGAAAATGATTTTAGCATAAATGTGTGCTCGTAATATATTTTGGGGCTTAATTGGTAAATATGAAAATCATAAGTGAATAAAATATGTTTAAGGTTTGCATTTCCAGATGTTTTTGAAAATTGGTCAATGATAGTTCTCTACAACAACAAAATCTCTAAAGGTTTTTCTTTTTTTATACATTTCAATTAGATTCTTGCATCAAGAGAATACAATCTTCATGTAATGGCCAAACTATTGCTTCCAAATGCCATGACTATTCTGTGAGTCCATTTTTGTGTTTTTGTAAAAATGGCAAAGCAAATGTTTTTTAAATGTAGAAGTCAAATGGAACAAATGACAAAATGACAAATTAGTCAGTGCAATGAGGGAGTTCATATCAAGTATCTGGCACGTTCAAAAGCCTTAATTCAGGTATCATACATTCATTTTCTCATGTCTTGTTCTATGCCAGTACAAATGTTATCTGTTTTGGTTTCATCATGTGAAGTAAGACCATAGAAAAAAAGAAGACTTACTATGTTCGACAACAGATACCTGCAGGGATTTAAAACATACCTTAAGACAGAACTAGTGAGAATGGAGTATGAATGGATTTCATACTGTAACGTTTTGTATGTCATTTTTATTTTAATGTCATTACTTTTCAGTATAAAATTTTAATTCTATCTATCCAGGAAATTTGTGAGTAAAAAGGAGCCTCTGAGAAAGACTAAAAATGACTCACACATTATGAAAATGCTAAAAGGTGGCGCTGTACTTAAAGCATAAACTGAAATTATTCAGCTAATTTGCACAAAGAACACTTTTCACTAGCACTCAAACCCTCAAAACATGGCCGAGCTTTGTGGTTGTTAATTGTATTGTGTGACGGTTGGTTTCTGTTTAATTAATCGAGTAAATTAGCACTCTTTGAACCTTTATTTATTTACAGGTAGGAAAAATGAAACCCAAACCAAATCCAATCCATTAGATCATACGTTAAAGGGCTGTAATGCATTTTCCGAAGCGAAAGATTACAGAGAGACCAGGGCATGATGGATCAAAAATAAAGATTTACAGTGATGGAAGCCGCTATAGAATAAAATGTATAGTAGATCTGAATTATGCAACGTAAACATTGTTGAGTTTCTGTTGGCTTGAGATAGATCATATAAATATCCACTATCAATCATTATAGAGGTATATGACAAGAAGAAGGAGTGCTGTAAGGATACACTAGAGCACACAATTTAGCAGTTGCATAGCTTGGCATTTTCTTTTTGAAGGTAACGCATTCAAAGTGTTTATGTGACAAGAATGTAATTAAGAAAGCAATTTGCCAGGCTTACCAAATCATTTTACTAAGTCACCTAGATGGAGGTTTAGTGGTGGGAAAAATAACAACCACTTGCACATGTGATGAAAACAGACCGAGCTTCGAACAGAGACTAACACAATGTTTTACTTCATGGCATTACAGAATGATAAGGCACCAAACTATTTTCCATATCATCAAATCAACCCCCAGAAGACATGATCAGACAATTATCGTTGAAGCGAGAGTTGCTTACATGGAAGCCTGCTTGGGCCTGTTGAGGCCACACACCTGGGCTAAAAGACACAGCTGCTTCAGTCATGATTACGGCTGCTTAACACCACGGGGCACAGCTAAATGCTGAGCTTTACTCTGCTAGCTAAGAGGGGCTTTGCAGAGCATATAATGGCTCTCTTCTGAGATGCTAAGCAGTCAGATTACATCCTCGACGAGATCTGAATGTCACAGAGACCTTCGGTACTTCACCTCTACCAAGAAACATATGGGTTTGCGCCACATACACACGTGTATCAGCAATAAAACAAACTATAGAAGGTAAGGCATCAAGGAGAGTTTATTCGTCCCCAGTTTATTCGTCAATGTTCTACACAACAAACAACAACAAAATATATTTCAAATTTTCTCATTTGTCTCTCAGTCTTTATATGCAGTTACCCTGTCTTCTTTTCTCTTTGATGTGTGTTGCGCCACCAACATACATGGCATTATCTTCTTCCTGCTTGTCTTCCACTGAAACAATAAAATTAGTTTAGGTGGCTGCAAACGCAATTACTAGCTGAGATGGAAGGCATCCGATGTGTCACTGTATGTGTGAAAAGGTTGAGACTCAGCCATTGATTTAAGTAGACCTGATTAGATGTTAGTGGAAAAGTGAGTTTCATTTTTCCAGAACTGTCAGTAGAAAAATAGTATGATCTATAACAAAGGCTTGCCTCATTTGGATATTAACTGGACAAGCATTGTGTAAGAGATAAGACACATTGACACAATGCCACATTTGTAAACAAAGATGTGATACATCAGGAAAGTGGTTTGCTTTCCTTCAACACTGAATGCAAAGAAAACTTTCAACTGTTTATCACCAGACGTTTGTCAGATCCTTTCAAAGGTCCTTTAATAAAAGCTGCAATTGTGTAAATTACAGCGAGTTGCAAATGGTATTTCGTTCACATATATGACCTGTGAGCCATGCTTGATGTAGGCCAGATTTGACTAAACAATGTAATTTACTCTATCTGAGGCACAATTGCATCCAAATAACTAAAAAAGGTAAATTTATCAATATTACACTTAATGTAAATACTGGAAAAATATGTTTTATGCTTTTCCCCATCATCATCATCATCATCATCATCATCATCATCATCATTAGTCGTTGCACCTTGTGTGCGTTGATTATACAGTTTCAAAGTGAACTGTTTGTGCGCTTGATACAATTCGCAACAGCTTAGCAGAAAGATGTTAAACAGTATGATTTAAGTTCCCTGAAAATGGAAAAAATAAAGAGTTAGCAGAGACATATTTTATTATTTTAATGCCAAATAAAATGAAAGAGGTTTGACAGTTGTTGCAGGGACCATTAATATATCAAAATTGGCTTCGAAACACAGCATTCAGATGTTTGTCGAAATACAGGGAGTTGTGTGTGTAATTTAAGGAAGAAAAATAGATAATTTTGGAATTGAATAACTTATTGAATATGACAAAACCGGCATTCACTTAACCAAGAAAAATCTATGCTCAGTGTGAGTATAATTTAAATCTATACTGTTCATTTACAGCAATTTGATTGGGTTCAACTCCCATTTGTGTCCAAAGTTCTCCTGGGGAAAACCCAGTGAAAGTGTAAATCAGCACTGCTTCTGAATCCATGCATTTCATTTAATCTTAATCACATGTCAGTGTGGTAAATGAGTAAGGCACAACCTGGGCAGTGCTTCCATAAGTCTGCAGGGAATTACTGATCATTATATATTCTTTTTGCTTAGCCTATACATATTTATTGAAGTTAAAGGATTGACTTCAACATTCCAGTGGCGAGTCTGTCCTCTGTGGTTCTATAATAATTTAACCCCAAAAAACAACTTTATATTCAATCAAGAACTGTAAAAGTTAATGTAATAGCTGTTATTTCACACTCTTTCTTATATTGTATATTCACTGGAGCAGCTCAGATTAGAGGCACACGAGCAAGGTGATTCAAAGAGGAGAATCAATATGTTTTGTCATTATAATCAACTTCACCTGATGTTGACCCCCCAATCCCTTGACCGACTCTCTTCTCTCACTGTAATGTCCCTGTCAGATTAAACAGGTTTTTAAGTAATTACATCCACTTGAATTACCTGATTTGACATAAATGTCAAGACCTCATTTGTCCCTTCTGTTGCACAAAGATTCAAATAATCAAACATTGGCTTACATGTGTATGCATGCCTGATATATTAGAGCAAACAATATGTACATCTCAGTTTACATTACGGTAATAATTATACATTGCTATGTTTAGTTTGAAAGAAAAATCTGGAAGGACTTCATTGTACTTCTATAAGCTGCTTGGCTAACGTCCTAATCAAAAGCGAGAGAAAAAGCAGTATCATTATAATTTCCATGTCATTGTAATCCTTCGGCTCATACTAGTTTCATCCTCCAGTGATGTTTAACACCCATTTTCTAAAAGCTTTTCTATTTCGCATTTTTCACACTGTTTTGCTATATCTAGAGCTGTGTGCCCAGAAGAGTCTCTGAGTTCCTTATCAGCTCCATTCAGCAGCAGGGCCTTTACTATGGACACACAGTCATGCTGGGCAGCCAGGTGTAAAGGTGTTCTTTTCCCTGAGTTCACCGCATTGACATCGGCATCATGCGATATCAGGCGGATCACACAAAGGAAACTGACGCTGGCGCAGGCAACGTGAAGTGGCGTCCACCCGTTGCTGTCCTCTGCGATGTTTGGGTCCGCTCTGGCTGCCAGAAGTTTGGCCACTATTTCTGGTTCACTGCGGTGGCACGCGAGGTGTAGCGGAGTCCATCCGTTCTGACCTTTACAATCCACAGAACCACCGTTTTGCTCGAGCTGTCCCACCACGGCGTCGTGTCCTTTTAGGGCAGCCAGGTGAACGGGGGTCCAGCCTTGGAGGGTCCGGGCGTTGGGATTGGCCTTGTGTGACATCAGGTGCTGGCATATACCCGTGTGACCCTTCAGGGCAGCCAGGTGAAGTGGCGTGAATCCTCTGCTGTCCGCCTTATCTGAACTCACCCCTTTCTTCAGTAGCTGCCTAACTATGCGGTTATGGCCCTGCTCGGCTGACAGATGGAGGGCCGTGCACAGGGAGAGGTCGGTGCCATCTGGATCTGCCCCGCGAGTGAGGAGGAGCTGGACGATGCTCAGATGTCCGTAGTAAGAGGCGAGGTGGAGCGCCGTCCTCCCTCGCACTTTCTCCCGTTCCGCCACAGCTTCCTCGGAGAGTCGTGAAAGCAGAAGTCGCACCACTGTTTCATGGCCGTTCTGGCACGCCAGGTGGAGGGGCGTCCAGCCATCTTTTTCCCGGGCGTCCGCCGCGGCGCCTTTATCTAAAAGGAGACGAACGCTCCTTTCGTCGCCATTCTGAGCAGCAAAATGAATTGGTGTCCACCGGTCTTCATCTCCCAGTGTTGCATCTGCTCCATGTTCCAGCAGCAACAACATGATGTCAGGAAATCTGTTGAAACGAGGATTCACCCAGACACCATTCGATCAGATATTATGACACAAGATAGTCCAATGGGGTTCTTCAACTTCAACACTGTCTAACTCAGCTTAATATTGAATAAAGTATTTACTGAATATTTCTATTGTCTTCTTTGTACGTAGCAGATATGTTTATCCAAAGCATGTTAGAACGCACAATGTTACAACTGAGGTAGGCTGAGGGTAGTATGCAGGGACAAGCTAAGGGGGAACTTTGCTGGACAGTTGCACTCATCAGAATTTGAACCCCAACTTGCTGTTCCATAGATAGTAGTCTTTACTACTGCACTATAAAGCTTCTATCTATCTATCTATCTATCTATCTATCTATCTATCTATCTATCT